CGAATACTTTCACAAGGCACTGTAAATATAATAATCTTTAATAATAGGTGTGTTGGAGCATAGAAACAACAACTAAAACATGCAGGATGGTGTTCCTCAAGGTCCAGGGTTGGCTTGGGTTTCCTCAGCTATCCCTTAGATATGCTGCTACAGGCTTAGACTGTTGGAGAACAACCTGACCACAATGTTATAAATTTGTATTCTTTTCTATCCTTGACAGGTATTTTTTTGTCTTTTTTCCAATAGGCGGTACGCCTGCCCCTACTGCAGTAAGTGCAGGTGTACATGTACATCTGGACCTGCCATTCTGTCTTCATTTGTCTCTCCTTACTGTCTCTCAAGCCCAGCCGGTCGAAGCAGATGGTTGCTTGTCCTGAGCCCGGTTCTGCTGGAGGTTTCTTCTTGTAAATTTTTTCTTCCTTTCCACTGTCCAGTTTGTGCTTGCTCACGATGGGAGACTGTGACTAAGTGAAGATTCAACGAGTCTGCTGGCTTTCTGAGAACTTTACTAAGTGGCTTTTGTATGTAAGTGAATGTTTCTGTTCAGTGCCCTGAGAAAACTTCTGTCATGATTTGGCGTTATCTAAATAAACTGAATTTAATTGAATCTGAGGAGCAGACTGCTTTGAATTTAACTTCATTGCAGACTCTCATCTTGAGCAAGCATAAAGGCAACAGTGGAAAGGAAAAACTCCCTCATGAGTAAGAAACCTCCAGCAGAATCAGGCTCAGAACAAGTGGTCATCTGCTTCTTCTTCTAAAACCATCGCTCCAGGCGCCGTGGGAGACGTGCCGGCCGTCTCGTGAGGATTTAAGCCAGCATCAAGCTCTCTGCTGCTTCGTCACCTGCTGCTGACCATCAGACGTTAAACTGTCCATCCGGATGCTTCGCTGACCCACTCAACTCCAGCTCGCTCCAGGTGCCCGGGCCTGGTACACGCAGCGGGAGCGCACGGCCGCGCGCACGGCCGCAGCGGTTTTGGTCGTCTCCAGTGGAACTTAAGCAACTCTGGACTGTCTGCTGCATCATCTCCTGCTGACCATCTGTTGGATATTCACCTGTCCGGCTGCTTCGCTGATCCTGCTGGGTCCTGCTGGGTCCTGCTGGGTCCTGCTGGGTCCTGC